ATTATCGTAAAGATAGAGGCTGCCTGGTCGGAATTCAAAGTTCTTCAAATTAAAGATACTTTGGCCAGTAAATCTTTTTTATTATATCGACGTTTCGACAAACATCTTATGTCCTCGTCAGGAGCGAACAAAATCAAAACATTTGGCAAAGCTCAAAGGAGATACATTTTTCATAATTTATGCACCTTATCCAAGTACAATATCACATTTGTACTATTTTTCACATTTGGCAAAGCGTTAAAAATTATTCTATTCTTAACGCTTTGCCAAATGTTTTGATTTTGTTCGCTCCTGACTTAAGAAACAGGCAGAACCGCACGTATCAGAATTTCAGAACATAATCGCAATATTCACAATAAAGACACAAAATCCCTAATCTACACCCATATCGCACAAACAGGCCATAGTTTTGATCTTGAACATCCACACATTAAATACAGACATATCAACCACAAATACAACAGACTATGCTTAGAATCCATCATTTCCTCACAAACCAACAGTATTAACCGCAAAATAGAACTTCCCGATATATACAAAGTCCTCTATTAATAGTGAGTACTACTCCTCCCACCCAAACCCCCCCACTTCCATCCCCCCCAATCCCCCCCCCCCCTATCCCCTCCACATTGGTTGTGACATTGAGTGGGGCCCTTGGTTGTGCCCTTGGACTGTTACTCATTTGTCGCAACAATGTTGACTGGTTTTACATATATTCATAATTTTACAAATCTTGTTTTCGTTTTTTTATATGTAAATATTCCAATTTTAACGTCTGCGTCATATATTCTCTTTTAATCCATTAGCTTAAGTATGTAAATTTCCTCCTAGGTGTATATAAGGTTCCTGTGTCGCAGTACTTTTGTTAGTGTAAAAGCTATCCACGCCAGATGAAGAACCATGCAGGTTCGAAAGCTAGCGAGAATAAATTATGTATCAAGATGCTCCTCTTTTTACTTTATTTCATGCTAACAAAAGATTTTTGTCGAAACGTCGGGACAATAAATATTTACTGGCCGAAGTATCTTTAATTTGAAGAAAATGTTATTAGACAGACAAAATATAGAAGCAGTTTACATTCTGAAATAAATAATAAAAAATCTCTTTTAGAGAAATGTATAAATGTATACTGTAAAACTATGATAATTGGAATAGAAATTTGAAAATAATTTTATTAGAAGGAAAACATTTGAAATTATAGAATAAAGCGTTAGGAGAAAATAATTTTTAATAATCGACTACCTAAAAAAAAAAAAATAGTCGATTATTAAAATTTATTTCCTCCTAACGCTTTATTCTATAGTTTTTATAATCCAAGGAGAAAGTTTCCATGTTTAAAAAAACATTTGAAATATTGATATTTATATAAATAAAGAAGAGATGTGAGTATTTGATCTTTATGGGGGTTTTAACGCACTATTTGTCCTATTCGATGAAGACTTATTGGAACAAAGTTTTAGGTCTGTAAGAAGCCCCTATCATATAGATTTGCATAGTGAAACTATATATATATATCTTTCACGCACAATGTGTGGATAAAATAATAATAATGGTGTTGATCTGTAATATTATATATAATTGTTAGCTGTATATATACTGAATGTAATATTTAAATCAAAGATACAATTCTTTCATTGGCCTTGTAGAACGAGGGTGGTGTACGTGTGCTCGCATGTTTTAGTGAAAAACACAAACATCCTCGATAAAGAGAGGCGAGTTGCCCCTCGAAATATTGGAACAATAAAATAATTATAAATCCAATATATGCATCTTTGTTGAATATATATATTTGAAAATAGAGCAATACATTAATAAATATTTAATTAAAAAGGCATATATTGGATCAAAATATCATTTATTTTACCGATATTTCAGTTGGCTGAACGTCAACCCTTATCAAGGTGTTAATAAATATTATGGTTAATATTAAACATACCTTGAAAAAGGTTGGCGTTCAGCCAACATAAATATTTGTAAAATTAAAATTTATTTTTATGCTGTCTTTACCTTATTAAGAATGGAATTCGAAAATTTAATAAACTTTTCCTCCAATATTTCATATAACACACACAAGACACAAAATATATTATACAAAGTAATATATATTGTTGATCTATAATACCTTGAGAAATTCACTTTAAATTATATATATGTATATGAAAAAAAGAAAGAAAAAATAAAAGATAAAATGTATATATAAATATAATTAAATATAATTTATATAAAAGATAGTTGTATTAGAGAATGAGTAATGATAATTAAAAACAAATTATAAAATATTACTTTTCGGGATTCAAAAAGTTTTTTTTTTTATTTAAGTAACAACATAGGGTTATAACAAGTTCACGCTGTAGCCTCGGTAGTTACGCGTCATGTAAGCAGAACATAGAAAAAAAAGGAAGAATTTAAAGTTTAATATATATATATAATAATAATAATAATAATAATAAAATAAGGTTTATATATATATATATATTATAGTGATTAAAACAAAAAATAATGCAATAAATATGTCGTGATCGAATGGAAGGGTGCAACTGTTATACAATGCAATCCCCAAGAATTAGTTCCAGCCAAGTGAGCAGCGCACCCGCGATGTATCGTAGCATTCGTCCGCGATGTCTGCCACGTTTATTTTTGTAGTTTTTATAGATGGATGAATTTGCATATTTACATTTTAATACAAGCTTAACATATTTACATAATTATTTGCGGGAAATTATACATCTAGGATATTATGCAAATTATGACATATATATTTCTAATATTATTCTTCCTATATGATCATATATATATGTAATCTTCTTCTATTGAGCAACTTCTCTATTAATAGACACACACGTAAGAGGTTTTATTACAGGAATTCAAATATTTTTACCAAATAAAGACAAAAAAATATTATTCGCAAAAAAAAAAAAAAAAAAAAAAAAAAAATTGAATACCTTCATTTGCGGTCCTCTCGCAGAAACAGATGGAACAATTTGTTCTCCAATCTGCGCTGGTTGGCGAAACAATGCGATCTGAAAAAAAAAAAACAATTTAATTTACAAAATAAATCTATACCATAGTTTTTTACACAACGTTTTCAATCTCTATATACTTTAATTTATGAAGACGTACATTGTATATAGACTAAGCATTCAAAAGATAAATTTAGAAAAGTGACTTGCTGGTTGTTCTCAAAGATGTTTTAATTCTAACCATGTATTCATAAAGACGATCATGTGTGTATGTGTTACTTTACGAAATAAATATCAAAATGATTAATTTTTCTGAGGATTCATATACGCGTAGCTCTTTATGCACATTAAAAAGATATTTAAATCGAAAAATGCAAGAGGAATGATATATCTTCGGAATGATATATTTCTGTTTTAAATTAGATTGTTGTCAAAAACACAATCAAATTTATCTAATCAAACTACACGTAAGTTTTATCTCTATAAAATATTGTTTAAAATTATACTGAACGTATTTAATATACGGGGACACACATAGATAAGCGCAATATAGAGTTTTAATTTTTTCAATATAAAATCAACATACCGATAGATCTGCCATTAAAAGTTCGACAGTCTTTAGCATTGAAGAATCGTCAATTAAAAATTGGTGCTGCGCATCATTTATTCATTTCATACGTTCGTAGAATAAAATGTAGGCGTTCTTCCTGATTACTTTGTTAGAATTGGTGTTCTTCACTCTGTGGTCGTCCATGGTGAACCATTCGCCAGAGGTTGGATGTTTGCAGACCGATGTAAAATGGCCAGTATGCGGGGTTCCGTAGTGGTTGACAATGGCGTACAGTTTGTACTTTGCGTCTGATCCAAATTGCGTAAGATCCAGGATAGGTGGGATATCAACCATTTTATTGTTTTTGCCCCCTCCGAAATCGGGGAATCGAATCAATTGGGCAATTAGGATGTTGGGCCAGTTCAATACATTGATTGTTCTTACAGATCCTTTTTTGCTACAATCAGGGCAGATGTAGTCATTGATGACTTCTTTTTCGAAGAATTTGTCAAAACAGTCCAGCAAAGAAATGCCCTTCTTTTCGGGGATTGGTAGGGAAAGATGCCAGAAAGCCTCAAAATTCTGGGAGATTCTTGGGCAGCTTTGACAGTGGGTAGCATTGACCGTCTGTCCTGCAAACATAACGACTATTAGGCTATTTTCAGTTGCTCGATAATCTCGCCAGAATCTACTGCCTTCATCAATGGTGTCGCCGCAGGGTTCAGGTTCAGGAGGCTGGTGGAGATCATTGTGGAGATGCTCAAGGAGAAATTGCAAGAATTCCATTGAGTCTTGTTCTGAGTAGTCTCCGAACTTGCTCTCGAACATTCCAACTTGTTTGTGGAACTCAATGGGCCTGAAAGAGCTTTCTTCTTTCCAAAGAGCGCTCAGAAGATTTCCAAATCTCTTAATGATTTGGCCGCCACTGATACTGTCTGGATTGATGTTTTCAGGTTTGAAATTCCAGAGGCAATTCTCCAGAACAGCTGTCGTATGGGCCAAGGATTGAACTATTGCGTTGCTGTAGCAGGTGTTTCCAAGATTGTACAACCCTACAGCATGGTCTTTCAAGCTTGGTGCCCCTGTAACATATACTCAGTATATAAGTATGTGATAATTTTAATAGTTTTTAAGTACTTCTATTTCAATATATATAAACTATTAATTGATTTTTTTAAAACTATTTTTTGATAAATTTTATATTATTCATCAGAGGTTCTTGCAACTCGGACTCAATGTTATGAGGAATTTACTAGCGGCAGAGCTGTAAATCATTAATCACACAATTTATCTTCGCTCATGATCGATTTTTGATTGTCATTAAATTCCTTTGAAGTTTTGTAACCCTTCTAATAATAATAATTGGAAATAGATTTGAAGCTCTCAAAATTATGGTTTGAAATCAAACATTTTATAAAAGATTGTGATGTTTAAAAGTGGAAGCAGCTTGAGCCGCGAGATAGGAATGAATCACGCGCTGTCAAACAGTTGTACCAGGTGGACCAGTCGACATGGCATCTGCCCGGTAAGCAGAACACTGTGAGTTCGATTCCCATCCCTGGACACTTTTATTTTTCCGTTTAACATTACTCTTCACAATTCATCCTTTCACACTTCATCCCTAAGGTTAGAAATAATCGTTATTTCTCTCCTTAAAAATAAATTTCAATTTTTCGCGTTTAAAAGAAAAACATGCGGGATAATTTTCTAATGTCGTTTTACAATCATAAGCCGCATTGTATTGTATTATAATAGTTGGGTTTAAAAACACGGCTATTTCTGTAGATCTCAATAAAACTGAGTTTGATGGAAATTATTATTTAGGTTTGTCTTTTTGACTTCTCAATCAGAGAATACGTAGCTGTTCTGAGGGTTGTATATCTCGGGCTAGATTCCGTGCGTAGTCCCATCCTACCTATGTTTACTCCCCTTTTCAAAACCTTGCAACTAATCTCTTAATGTTATCGCTTAACACAACGAAAATAACATAATAGAGAATTTTAATTTGATTCTTTTGCATTATTATGGTTATTTTACACTTTGCCGCAATCTTAGGAAGTATCCTTTGATTGACCGGCCATGGCCGTTGTACAGTGAAGTAAAAAGAGATTTTTCAGCCTCATTACTGTAATATCATCCAATATTTCTGTTTTCGTATAGAAATTACAACACTATACATATAGGAATATTTTAGGCTATTAAAATATCGTTATATATAACTTACAGTGTAATAAATTATAGTTGATATATTTGTTTTCTGAGCATATAAAAATCATTATAATAAGGTGAACAATGAAATCGGAATTATAGTCTAATGAATTATCTAAAACAACCTTCAAAAATATTTTCTACCCACAGATTGCGATTTGAAACATCCTATATGATTTTATCAGAGAATCTACAAAGCGTGATTAAGAGTCATGACAATGAGTAAAAATCAGTAAATATAGTGAAAATCTATTTTAAAGCAAATTTCACATTTTTAATATTCAACAACAACAACAACAAAAGGCTTTTATTAAGGCCCATTGCCCTGTATGGATTCTCCACACAACAACAAAACAATGCAGCAATTCCTCTCCCTTTCCCCATGTGCACGCGAGTCTTTGTTTGAAAAGGGATTTATTTACACATCTGTTCTAAAAATTTCCTCACTACCTCTTTTGTGTTTGAATCTATTTACAATTGATATGTAGAAATTATAGAGTTCTATTGCTATATTTTTCTTTTCTGAAATAGTTCTCAGCGTCTTCAGTGGGTTGCTAAATCTCCAGAAGGTGTTTTTAAGAGTTTTTTCTCTTTCTTCACCTAAATATTTGCATTCTATGATATAGTGGGAGATTTTTTATCAGATATTTTAAATATTCATAACATCCCCTTCTGAATAAAATGTATCGATGGCAATGGATTTTACCATCATTTGACAAGGAAGGAAATCAAATCAATCAAATCCACAATTCAAATAGATTAAAGTGTATTGACAGTTGTTCACCTTATCTTATCCAATGTAGATAATCATATGTCCTTTAACTCTGTTTTCAATTGTCTGAACAAGAATTCACTGGGCGAAAAATCAGGGGAGTAGGAACTGAGATCAATTTAAAGCCATCTTTCTAAGAGTCCGGTAATGACAGTATAGAAGTTGAGAATTATCTTGGAGAAAAACCAAGTCTTTGAATGTCAAAGATAAGGACATTTTAAAATAATATTTTGAATAGCAGAGTTCAGGAATATCTTTATGAAGAAGTGAATAGGTCTGAATTTTATAGGAACGAATTAACAGTGAATGCAATGGACTACGCCACTACAAGCTCATTCTTTTGAATTTACTAGAAGCCATCGTACCCTCACTTCTCTTGAATAAACATCACGTCTTACGAAATTTGAAAATTATCCCGCATGTGTTTCTTTTGAACGAAAAATCGAAATTTATTTTAAGGAGAAATAACGACTATTTCTAACCTTAGGGATGATGCATGAAAATATGAATTTTGAAGAGTAATGATAACCCATCCCTGGACACTTTATTTTTCCATTTATCATTACTCTTCACAATTCATCTTTTTATACTTCATCCCTAAGGTTAGAAATAATCGTTATTTCTCCTCAAAATAAATTTCGATTTTTCGTTCAAAAGAAACACATGCGGGATAATTTTCAAATGTCGTTTCAAAATTATAAGCCGCATTATATTGTATTATAAATCATGTCTTACCTTCATCTCTTTCAGGTTCCAAGACGGCCGATGGTTTATTGGAGCAACAATAAATTTTGCGAAGGTACGTCGCAATCGGATTGTTCTGCTTCGTTTGGGTACCTTCGATCACCTGGGATCTGGAACAGACATGTTGGTGTCATGTAGAATAACACCATGAGTGAAATCTTGGAACAGACATGTTGGTGTCATGTAGAAATAACACCATGAGTGAAATCTTGGAACAGACATGTTGGTGTCATGTAGAAATAACACCATGAGTGGAATCTTGGAACAGACATGTTCGTGTCATGTAGAAATAACACCATGAGTGGAATCTTGGAACAGACATGTTGGTGACATGTAGAAATAACACCATGAGTGGAATCTTGGAACAGACATGTTCGTGTCATGTAGAAATAACACCATGAGTGGAATCTTGGAACAGACATGTTCGTGTCATGTAGAAATAACACCATGAGTGGAATCTTGGAACAGACATGTTGGTGACATGTAGAAATAACACCATGAGTGGAATCTTGGAACAGACATGTTCGTGTCATGTAGAAATAACACCATGAGTGGAATCTTGGAACAGACATGTTGGTGACATGTAGAAATAACACCATGAGTGGAATCTTGGAACAGACATGTTCGTGTCATGTAGAAATAACACCATGAGTGGAATCTTGGAACAGACATGTTGGTGACATGTAGAAATAACACCATGAGTGGAATCTTGGAACAGACATGTTCGTGTCATGTAGAAATAACACCATGAGTGGAATCTTACCCTGTGGCTGTCTGACCGCAGCAGGTTGTGTCAGAAGGCGTTTCCACTTGTTCATCCTACACACAAAATATTTAGTTTGAAAAATATATTAATCTAAAACCTCTAAGCTCTCTATATATGCTTATCATAATATAATTATTTTAAAACATATTATTACAGTAGAACCTCCACGAGAACTAGAGAAATCGTGCTAGAGAACACCTTTTTATAAAATATACTTTTCATTTATATAAAATTAAGGATTAAAAATGCACGAATGTTTCTTTTATACACAATACAAACTTCTACTGTCCTTACTACGATGAAAAAATATATTGGGAGGGCTTGGATCATCAGTGATAAACCCTCCCAGCGGTTTCGCTAATTTAATCCACCAATCTGCTTCTCAAAGCTCTAATACTGTATTGGACGATTCTGCTTATATACTCAGCTGCGTATATAATCCAATACAGTATAAGAGCTTTTTATTCACAAACACATACAAATCAGATAATCATACATATCTTTCAATAGTGGGCACAATATCTGGTTCTTTTATTTTAATTTATAACCCTATTTAATTTATTTGGCTCACCCCCAGGGTTTCTTTGAAACTTACAAAAAATATGATCTAATAAAAATAGTTCCAAATGATTGCATTGTCATCGCAAATGAGCATGTGTTAATAAATGCTAAAATAGTTAAATATAATTTTTTCGTCTCACACAAAGCCATATTAATCAGAATTATTGAGGTAAATCTTCAATACGGCTAAGTACCTGCTGCTTAGTTTGCTAGTTGGGATTCTTCCCGTATTCTACAGAGAAAATATATTAAAAACTTTAAATCAGAAGATATATTTTGTACACTATGTAAAAGAATAACCAACTAGAACATTACATGTTGGAATGTTTATTTCTTGATTTAGAAAGAGACTTGCCTCTCCCGGGAATTGCTCAGACCTCATTATATTATTTAATACCCAACCTGTCAAATAATAGGTCATTCACGTTAAATGTATATAAATTTTACATGAAGGCTTTGAATATCAAAGACATGTCTAATTAACTGAATCTTTCTTGAATTTATATTTTATTTACTTATATAATACCCCTTCTCTCATATAATGAGGAATCTGTATGAGGCCAGAGAGTCTCAATAAAGCTTTGTGTGTGTAGTTAGGTAGCTTAGTTATAGACTGGTTCATTAAGTGACCATTCGCTTGTATAAGATTGATATCAAACTTCTTATTATATTTGAGGCTTATGTCCATAGTTCACTAAACACCATTTAGCTGCCTTCCATAGAAAATGCAGGGTATATAACAAAACCAGTCCAATACAATAGTAGAGCGGTCTAGAGATTAATTTGGCGAAACCGCTGAGAGGGTTCACTACTGATGAGCCAAGCCCTCTCATTCATTAAATCATATCATTGCAGTAAGGTCTGTAGAGATTTAAAAAAAAAAAAAAGAAACGCATTGCCAGTAAATTTATTTGTGTAAAATTTTAACGATAGAGGGCAATAAAATTTAATTTACTAATATATAATGGTTATGAAAACATGTTTTGCGCGGAAGAGCTTTGCTCGATGCAATACCTTGAAATTTATATGTATGTACCTCTACAGACCTATAAGCTTATGTCCATAGTTCACTAAACACCATTTAGCTGCCTTCCATAGAAAATGCAGGGTATATAACAAAACCAGTCCAATACAATAGTAGAGCGGTCTAGAGATTAATTTGGCGAAACCGCTGAGAGGGTTCACTACTGATGAGCCAAGCCCTCTCATTCATTAAATCATATCATTGCAGTATGGTCTGTAGAGATTTAAAAAAAAAAAAAAAGAAACGCATTGCCAGTAAATTTATTTGTGTAAAATTTTAACGATAGAGGGCAATAAAATTTAATTTAATATATATACACACACACACACGAAAACTCTTATTAGGGATCAAGCCTCATACAGGATTCTCCCAGTATAACAATGGTTTTAAATGAACCTAAATAAAGTACTATATACAATTCAATATTAACATGAGCCCCCCCCCCCCAAAAAAAAAACTATTTACACCAGTTTCAATTTGCATTTCTGTT